CTCTCTCTAATAACCGCATTAGACTGCATTAATAACTGCGTAAGCCTGCATATCAATGGCTCAAGCCTCTGTTATCAGCTCTAAAATGACGTTTTGGAATTTGCAACGGAAGGTTTGGGATGAGGTGCGTAAAAAATTAGTTCAACCCACACGAGATTTCAAGACGGAAACATGTCAAATGTCTTGAAACAAATGATCTGAACAATGTCTTGATGTGTGGTTGGGACTCCAGGCCGTTAAAATGATTAGAGAAATAATGCTCTCCCGAGGTGGTTATGTGGCCACGACTATATAGTATGGTCTTTCTCAGTTCTCAAACAAATTAAGAACTATTCGATTTTTATTGACTGAACGCAAAAGCTTATTCCGATAAACACTGTATCCCTTTCCACTGATTAAGAAATATTTTAGTTTGCTTGTGTGGTAATATTAGGTCTATTATATTAATAGGGAAGGGGGCCCAAAAATTACCTATTTTCTACGTCACGAAAATAGGTAAATCCGGACCTGCCATCTAATTTGTGTTTTGGCCATGTAATGTTGCTGAAATTAAATGTTATTACCTCTGTGTCAGAGCAGCGATCATGGAAGAGAGAACACAAGCAGACAGCGCTGGAAGCTGCTAATGCTCATCAGTAAATCAGTGGAAAATAAATAGAAATCATGATTCTGTCTGAGCTGTGTGTTTTAAAACAAACACTAACTAGTGTAAATGTAGCCTAACAGATGTGTAAACTGAAGACTATTTGAGCTTTATTAAAACTATTTTGCACCGATTTATTGTGTTGGTTACATTTTGTTCCTTTGTGCAGTGGCTCAGGAGACGAGTCTTTGAGTTTGTATAAACATCAACAAGCTGAAAAATAAAACAAGAAAAAAGTATCGTTCAGGAACTGGTATCGAATTCAAGGTATCGATATCGAAAAATTTAACGATACCCAGCCCTAGTGATTGGCTGGTTGTCCAAGAAGAAAAAAAAATGCTTTAGGCTTTATTATAAGCCTTCACTTTGAAATCACAGGTGTAATTTTTCCTCTTTTACCGTTTTCTCACTCTCACTCACTCACACACACACACACACTTATATGATATATATATATATATATTACTGTGCGCTATTGAAGAAAAATGATATTGCCTAAAGTGTGAAAAATCCATTTAAATTATATTTTAAAATATTTAAATCCATTTAAATTATATAACCAATTTTTCACATTCTTTCTTGGAAAAGAAAAAATCACTACAACTTCTGAAAGTGACCAGCAGTGTTTTAGCAGTACATAAAAAGTAATTTTAACATCAAAGTGAACATACAAACAAAAAAAATTAATGACACTAATTTTATATAATTGTAATGTTGCTTTCCATACACTTTAAGTACTTCTTCATATACCACAGCAAAAACTATAGTCTGAGAAAGTTCAAACATGATTAAAGGCAAGTGAACAGTCAGTAAAAAAAATAACAAATACACAATTTACAAGCATAGATAAAATAAACCGTAGTATTCGGGTACAGAAATGTAATAATTAAGTGTCAAATAACACTGCATTGTGTTCACTGTATGAATTAAATTTAGATTAATTTTTGTTAAAGCTGTGTTTTGTTGTTTGATTAACATTAGTGGCATATTCAGCAGCAGGTGTTTATAAAGGGCTGCTGTCCCTTTAAAACCAACTGCACGGATCCAATATAATGATACATCCGATTTCTTTCTCAGCTGTTTACATTCATTTAAAACATAACTGACTGCATTTACGAGAATGATCATCGAGACGAGTACTATTGACAATTCTGTGTATGTGTCTGTTCAAACATAAGGAGGAGATGCGAAAGATGAATCAACTCGGTGTTCGCGCTCTGTCTGAAACGCGTCTGTGTGTGCTTCAGGTGTGAGTCAGACAGCAAGAAGAGATGGCAAAGAGTTGTTTTCTGCAACTATTAAACAATTTTTAACGTCAGGCAATTCTGCTATATGCATCGAACTAAAACGTTGACCTTTTGCAACGTTTTGATTTAAGTAGCCTATTAAAATGATTCGGATATCGCACGCCGTTACATTTTATATATATATATATATATATATATAAATACTTTTTTAT